ATATATATATATATATATATATATATATATACACGTTTAATGGATATAGTGCAGCGTCAGTTGACACATACCTGGTAGAAATGCTTTCTAATATGCTCGAATATGTGACGATTCGTGGAGCTTTCGACTCGAAGCTTCCAACACTCCAACCGCAAACTGTCTGCTCCTTGGTGATTTACCTTTTTATATGGGTGTCCCCACTCGCTCGAAACTCGCGCGTTTAGCCGTCGCTCGTCTTATTGTTGCACGCCGAAAGCCAAACGGACAGAGTGGAAAGGATCTAGCGATATGCTAGAATTTCTTCTTCTTCTTCTTGTCTTCTTCTTATTTTTTCTTCTTCCAACAGAAGTAGAATTCTGCGAACCGTAGAGAAATGAATGCCGGGTAAATCGTTCTTTTGAATATTTGACGGAAACAGGTTTCTGTACTCACACACGTGTAAACACTCGCAATCTGGCAGTCGGAGTAATCAGTGGCAAAACAAGTGGCGATGAGAAAGGAAATTGTCTGCCTGATTTATCTCTTGGAAATGTCATTCTACGTTTGAGAATCGTGTGTGAAAAGTAGGAAGAGAAAAGGAGAACATGTTCGCGTATTTTGCATGCCGCAGAATATGTATATTTTCCATTCCGGGGTCATCTAATGTTACGTGATGCAACTTCTGCTGGGGGTCTGATTTAGCAATAACAATGATTATCGCCAACTCTTGCTTGCTTTTTTTTTTTCTCTGATATGTTTTCGGACATTCACGTGGCGCGATATCTTTGAAGAAGATTATTAAGCTGCTACAATAGCTCTATTACAAAAAGAATTAATTGTTATTTTCAATATTGGTATTGCTTGCGTATAAATTTCCTGTAGATTCGGAAAAATTTGCAGTCTAATCGTGGAACGAATTTCAAGATGACAACAAATTCGCCGAAGAAGAGAGATTTCTGATTAAAGTAAAACAATTCCTAATCGATTTCTCTTAGCGATGCCACGATCGTCGACAGATGATGCAGAGAAACGATGCAAGCGAGTACGTATCTTTATTGACAAAAGATCGTTCATTGTCTGATAAAAAAAATAAAAACAAAAGAAAAAGCGTTCAAGCTGCACGGGGAAATCGATGGACCGGAGTTAACCGGTTACTTGGCTGCGAACTCGGGACCTCCGGGACGAGATAAGTCAGTAGGAAAGGAAAAAAATGCAGATAACGCTCACATGATTCGACAGAAAAAGGAAAGAACGGAACAACGGAAAATAGATTAACGTAGACGGAGAGATGGACGTTGGCTGAAAGGAATGATGAATCGATCAAAAGTGCTCGGATATAGATTCATACAAAAGTTCTCAATTTTTGATGTTCCGATAGTGTCATTACTTTACTCGCACAAAATCCTAGCGATCGATACTTCAAAAGAGACGTGAAAAATTAATTGTTTCCTTTAGAAAGAACACTGTTCAACTCACGATGGAATTGCATAGGTTTCTTTCGATGAACATTATTCTCCCTCTCTGTTCTATTCTTTGTCTCATTTCCTTTCTTTCCTGCTCTCATAGAAGTCTGTTTCGCTGCTAAAATCACTTGGTCCGGTGCCAAATGCCAAGTTTGATTAATGCAAATTCCTTGTAACTCGACGACCGCGAATCTGCTCTTCTGTTGGTTCATTTTGAAAATTATCGATCGACTCTGTAATGATATTACATTTTGTACAACAATTTATCTTCTAGCTAATAATATTAGTAAATCGATTCTTTTTGGTAATTTGCAATTTGTAAAATACTTCACTAATACGTTCAATTATGCAAGATGGCCCTGGTAATCAATTTTCCATCTGTTACGAGACTCCGAGACTCGAGCAGCGTGATCTTTTATTGATACAATTTCCTCTGGGAGAATAATATAAAAATCATGAGATCTGCTATTTGTATTTATGTATTCTTTTGTAATTTATACCACAAGTATACATATACATATATATATATATGTATACAATGATTTTATATGAGATCACATCACGTCATGCTTCGTGTTAATAGAGAAAAAGAGAACGAAAAAAGTTGGAATACAGCGAGATATCCGAACAGGGACGAGATTTCTCTTGTCTTTATGCTAACAAGATAACAAAATCATTTGACACAGAGACTTTTGTTTCAGTTGCGTTTCGACGTTCACTTTAAAAGTAAAGTTGTTATGAATGAAATGGCCAAACATTATTAATACAACAGAGTTATCCGAACGTTGGCTAATAGAACAATTCATTATTGGAATTATATTACTGCAACACAGTGTAGTAAAAATTAATTTGATCATTAAACCCTGAATGAAATTTCTAAAAAGGAAAAATGAAAGTTCCATCAGTAAATAGTTATTGACTAGTTTTTCTCGTAAATAGTTTGCTCTGTACTCGGCGGTAGTGCGACAGAGCTGTCTCGATCGGAATGAAACGAGAGTAGATTCTGTCGGAAATGGTTCGCGTTCCCTCCGCTGTTTTCCTGTCGCGTCGCTGTCTCTGCAGCCGTGCGTCCCATGACTAAAACACTGCTCCGGTTTCTCGTTTTTCTGCAGCTGAGCAGCTCGCTCATACCTTTCTGAAAGTTACGCGAAAGGAAAGCGTAGAGGAAAGGGTTTAGACAGGAGTTTGCGTAGGAAATTAGAAAAGTGAACAAGGTGAGAACAGTGGTGAAATTCGATGATCGATCATAACTGGAGCTCCAATGACGCCAGGCGATTCGTGCTTGTTGCGGCAGATTGCATACGGCAAACATCATCACTACTGCGATCAGCATTCTAGAAAATTTCGTCTCCCTTTCATCCCCCTTAATCTCTACTTATATTCGTAGAAATATTTGCAATCTGGCGGTAAAATATGACACGCTTACCTTATTACACCGCGTCGGGCGCGAAGCACGTTCCTACTGGAATTGTGGACACGATGAAGGCTGTTATTTTTGCTTTTAGTCTTCGCCAAGCCTGATCGGTCGAGGGTGGTGCCGCTTCTTCGTAATCCGACGGCAATTCTCGAATAGAGGCAAGACATGAGCAGTAGCGGAAGTAAGTAAAGAAAGACGAGGTTCACCGCGTCCAGCAAAGTTTTGTTGTGCTTCTGCATATTGGCTATGCAAATGACGTCCACGTCGCCGGTGATTAAACGATTCTCCATGGTCTCGACGTAGAAGAATCTCGGTAGAGCATAGATCGCGGCAACGATCCAAACTATCCCTATTACCATTTGTAATCGGCTTCTCGTCAGCACGGATCTGCACTTGATCGGATAAACGATAGCCAAGTATCGTTCGATGCAAACCACCATAAGAATTAAAACGCTGGCTGTGTAGGAAAGCGCGTGAACGAACATGTACACTTTGCAAAGGGTATCACCGAGTGGCCAGCTGTTCATCAAGTAATTCGTCAACGTCTGATACACGCAAAATATACCGACGCAGAAGTCGGCGACTGCCAAGTTTGCCAAAAAGAAGTTGGTGATGCTGCGCAGTCGTCGTGAAAATGTTACCACAAAGATCACCATTAAGTTACCTGAAAGCAAAGATCAAACGGATACGGCCCTCAACTTACACACGTACTTGGTCCATTCTTCTCGATACGATACAGTTCCTTTCTTCGAAATCTTAAATTACATTTTTTCCTTCAAATATAAGCATATCTCCGGTAGAAATATCTACACTATTATAAATGAATACTTTCGAATACTTTCACTCAAGGACAGGTTTTATTTACTTTACACGATATTAGTCTTTTTTCGCCTTCTTGTCGATTTGATGATCGATCGAGTGAATTTCAAAGTGTGTGACATGTGGATCCAGACGAAAATTGCCTTGGCGATCGTTCAGTGACAATTCGATCGATCTAGATCGAGATGATCGCTTACCGAGGAAGCAGGAAACGAAGACGACGGTGTACAGTGTAATAAAAATTATTCTGATATCGGCCCTGTCAAGGATGTACTCCTCGTTCGCAGATATATCGTGCAAGGAACTGTCGTTCTCCATCAAGCCTTTTTTATCATGAATTTCATGAATTACGGCGTCACGGTTGTCAATCATTCTGCAACGAGATTACGAGAAATAGAACATTATTACCACAGATTTGCTACGAGTGCAAGTGAACAGAAAATTACTAATTAAAAAATCGGAAGAATTTAATTTTGACGAGGGCACAGTAAATTCCAAACGGATTAATTATACATTTCAACAAATTTAAACCTAATAATTTTTACCGTGGCGATCGGTAATCTCTTATCTATTAACGATTATCTCTGATCTATTAATGATTTGTTAATTGCCAAGCTCCATACAAACAAGTTTATCAGGCGTCCTGATAATTACAAATTAAAATTAGATAAATCTAATTTCACTCCTAAACAAATTTCATCGTTCGAGACGTTTATTCATGAAACACGACCCTTTTTTACATAGTTCACGAAATCCCTTCTTCACCCGGTTGCTTCTAATTAACGGAGGAAATATGGAAAATGGTAAACGATCAATACGAAGATTCCAAGTTTCGTGAGAAGAAAATGTGAAAAAATGTTCTTCTACCGCAATCAAGTGTCTTGCATTCATTTAATGAGAATGAAACTTTACAACGAGATAAAATGAGTAAAATGATTTACTCGTTTATAGATCACATTAACGTAGTCTATTGAATCCCATTTCCAAGAACATAATTTTACATCGTGCTGAGACAATTGTTTTACATCGTTGGGAAACGTGCTAAAATTAATTACAAAGTTAGAATTGATTTCCATTGTTTTGCATATCATTTAAAGTCAAGTTTTTCACAGTCACGACTGTGCAAGCAGAAGTTGTACGTTGCACAGCTTTTCTGCTATTCCTCTTCGTCGTTAGAAACATCATTCCTGCGATTATAATTCCTCACAATAACGAAACATTGATTAAGCCAGCATGTGTACACAATGCAAGTAAGCGAGTTTAAACACTTGCAGAAATCTTGTACGAACAAACGTGTTGCGCAATCATTATGTAGTGCAGATTATTGTCTTTTGCATGATCCTCGAGAAGAGATCTTTTGCATTTTCACTCATTTTCGCTTGAAAAACTTTGTGCATCGAATTGATGCTTTTATCAACTACAGCAAGTGTTCGAATGTCTCTTCGAGCACTTGACGAATATAATTATAAAAATATCACTCGCGTAGATAATATTCCGATAACTTTTCCTTCGTGCTATCTCGCCACCATGGATACATATCTAAGCTCGTGCTTAGTTTGTAATTGTTTAACAATCGATATCTTTTTGTATAATACACACTAATCTACTAAATCCGTCAGGTATTCCATTTCATTATCATTTCATATCGCTGAAATAATAATATCGATCCGAATAATATTCACGTGCGAGTTTAAATTGGCAAATGAAATTATACGTGTAATGATAATAATCGAGATTTTATTGTTAGCAAACGCTCGTGCAATTTCGATCAAGAGGAAATTTAAAGGGAGATTCGGGGATGTAATGTAATTTAGCTTTAAGAATTTATAGCTGCAATAATTCTAAGATAAAAGTGGTGACAAAGTCAAGGTTGAATTGATCGAGAAAACTTTGTTCGAAAGTATAGGTTTGATGCATCGTAACTTGTTTCGTTCTATGGTATCAATTTATCAGTAAAAAGGAATAGCGTAACTTATTGCATTCTTCATCTGATATGAATTATTCAGAAGATGATCAATCCTACAAATTGAAATTTTAGGAAAATACAAATGTTATTTTCTTGAATTTATCTTAGAAGATTCTGTTGTTTTCGTTCTTCTCTCATAACAGGCGAGTTTATGGAATTAAAACACTTGTTCCTTGATTGCTAAAAAAGAAGCAAATATTCTTTTTTTTACAAATTAATAACAATCAGTAAGTTAAATTTTAATTGTTCATTCTATAATAATTTAAATAATAATTTTTTAATAATAATTTTTTAACGAAAGTCAAAAGTAATAAAATCGAAGAATAATATTCTATTTTGTTATATTTGTGTGTGTCACTGTTTTGGTGTGAATTTATACGAAATAAATTTCTATTTAGATTCTACTATCTAGATGTGCGATAATCAATATCACAATACACGTTTAATCTAAAAATCGTAATAATGCGAATATTGTACCATGCGAATCTTGATCTAGTTGATTGCTTTTCGCCAAGAGAACGTGACTTATTATATCTCGTTGCCACTCTCTTCAACTTCTTTCCTAATCATTTCTTATTTTTTTTGTAATTATAAGTGTTTCAACACCAGTGAACTTTTACATATACACGCGATAACTTACCTATATCATTTTCAGTCATAGACACTGTAGTTTCCTCTGTGTTCCAGATCGATTCGTCCGATCAGATGAAAAAAAAATCGAAGAGGGAAGATCGTGGAATTCCCGAAAATTGGAGATATTAATTTTCAATTAACGTTTATTATAAATCAGTTTGAATCGTCGAACGTATCGCGTGTTCTTCTTCCAACATATTCCTGCAAATATTATGTCGCCCATTTTTGTTCCTTGTCTATGCCTCATTGTTAACGATTAACAAATTACTTTGTCGTAATTTATATTTGCCGCCGTGAAATCGATAAATTAAAGGGGGTCAACGATAACACCGGCCACGAAACTATATGCACGAGGGCGAAAACTAACGTAGCAACCGACCGGGCCTGTATTTCGCGCGGCACTGGAAAGCTCGAAGCTTTCATTCATAGTCACCAGCCTGTGAATTGACCGGGTATCCTGGGATCTCGCGCACGCGTCCCTCGTCCTTGTCCTTGTCCTCGTCCCGATTAGTTTCTTCATTCGTCGGAAGTGTGCAAAGAAATCGGCCAGAGTCAAACGAGAGTCAACAATGAACGATAATTCGATTCAATATCGGTGAAACTATCGACGACTTGACAGCAACAACAGAGAAAGAGAGAGAGACAGTTCTCTTCTCAATGCTGCAGCATTTCATTCTACAAAGAAATTCATCAACTTTTTAATTAAAATCTCTATTACTGTTTCTTGATCACCCTTTTGAGCGAACACTTCATATTCTCAGTCACAACATTATTGTGTATATATCATTGGGTTACAAATGATTACTGTAGTGATTCATGTTAAATTCCAAATCTCTAGAAATGGACTCTTGCAAGTGTAGAAGCCGCTCTTGATAATTCTCATTCAGTGTTGAAGGAGAGGAGTAGCTGGAAATTTGGATATCAGATAAAAGCTAACGTCCACAGTCGTCGAGTAGGAAGAAAGTGGGGACACTGTGATAAATACATATCATTTCTCAAGAGTATGAAGTAATAGCATTTGTTGTGATCAACGGTGGTATTTAGCGGGCTTGTGCTTCGCACCGAGCTCACTCATAGTTCTTGTTGTCTTACAATTGCTCTGACAAAAAGAGTATTCTATCCTAGTATGATCTCGCATCAAAAGTCTATTTTATTGTGTCATATCCATTACGAGAATAATACCCTCTCTCTGTAGAATCTCTGAGTTTCTGTAGAAGTTCTTTTGGAAATATGTGTCTACCAATGTGTAATCGTATCGACAGCAACTGGAACATTATAAAATTGTGAATATAAAAATTATAAATTTTCGCCGCGGATCACTTGTTTTACATAGTGTTTTTTTCTAGTGTGTAACGTGTTCGAACGATTCGAAGCATGTTGAATAAGGCGAAAAGTACGATTTGCGAGAAAAGTGAGTTTACGCAACGTTAGGCTAGAGAGTTTAGCAGAAAATTAAGTTTCTCGCGAGAATTTTTCGTCGAAACTGTTTCGCAAGTTTCCAAGCGACATTTTCGCACGCGTTTTCTGTTGTTTCAAGTGCCGCGATGCAGCAAGGACTGTTGTTGCGACTACACGAAACGGAGGCTGCCGATTCTTTCGTGGGCAAGAGGCTACAAATTCTCGTGGCTGGCTCGAGATGCACTGGCCGGCTTCACCGTTGGCCTAACAGCCGTCCCACAAGGCATCGCTTACGGCATCGTTGCTGAATTAAGTCCTGAGGTAAGTCGAAATGAGTCTCGGAGGAGAGCAAGTCGTAAGAAAAGCAATCTTTCTCTATATTTACCTTCCTCCGGACAAGAAAAGAAGCTCTAGCTCCTCTTATTTCCGTTCTGCTCTCTCCAGAGTCTCACCAGCTTCTCTCATTCATCAGCTTAGAATGTCACTTTTTTTTTTTAATTTTTGTTTTTGCCTTCAGTATGGATTATACGCGTCTTTCATGGCCTCGTTCGTATATATTATTTTCGGCTCTTGCAAAAGTATTACCATCGGCCCAACCGCTATTATGGCAACGATGGTGCGACCTTTAGTGCTGGGATACGGTGCCGACATGGCGATTTTGCTTACGTTTTTAAAGGGTTGCATTATCGCGTTGCTCGGACTTTTTCATTTGGGTGAGTGATTAGAGCTTTTTCATTGAGATATACTCTTGTGCAGGTTCAAAAGTTTCATTCTAATTAAAAGATTCTCTCTACCTTCCGTTTTTTATTTTTTTTCTTTTTTTGCTCTCTGAAAACAAATTACATTGCATTCCCTGTATGTAGATTTTCTTCGAAATAAAATCATCAAATTAAGGCGTTAAGATATAAAAATAAAAACGAAAATTTCAACTTCTCTTATCGATTTGAATTTCAAATATCTTGCAGCCATTGTGTGAAAAAAAGAAGAAAAAAAATTGAATTCAAAAAATATCCATTTTAAATCTCTTTTAGTCTTTGCTCTTTTTATCTTTCGTGACATTTGAACAAGTTCAACGTGCATTTTCAGGTTTCTTGTTGGATTTTATTTCCTTGCCCGTCATCACCGGTTTCACCGCGGCTGCGTCCATTAACATAGCCAGTTCACAGTTCAAACCGTTGTTAGGAATTGCTGGTAGAAGCGAAGATCTGGTAGACTCTTTGATCTCGATATTTTCGAATCTGAACAGCATCCGGTATCAAGACACGCTGCTAGGCATTGCAACGGTAGTGGCTCTGGTGTTGTTTAAGGTAAATTTTTATAACGAATGAAACTTTTATACGATCGAAGATCGGCTCGGTGTTAGATCGAAATTAAACGAGTCACTTAGTTTTATGATGCATATTTTTCTTTTTTCTTTTTCTCTACTACGTAATTTTCATATTGATTTCTATCTTCAAGAATTTACCTGGACGTCGAACTGGTACCTGGCCACAGAGAATCGCTTGGGCCAGTACTTTAGCGCGTAACGCATTGGTGGTCATTGTAGGAACTCTGATCGCGTATATCTTTTTTATCAACGATAAAGAGCCTTTCAAGCTAACCGGTGAGAGCAACACGATAATTGGATGATCCATTTCGTGAGAAACCACGTTCTTTCATTTGGTCATTCGTTGAACCAAATATAAATGTTTCGTCAACGAGCGATAAGAGGAACAGATGGAGCAAAATGAATGATTTTTAGGAACGATGGGTAATGGACTGCCACCGTTCGGTCCGCCGTCTTTCTCCATAACAGCCAACAATCGAACGTACAATTTCCTTGAAACAACCGCTGCTATGGGAACGACGCTTTTCTCCGTACCGATCGTTTCTACGATCGAGCACATGGCGATAGCAAAGGCTTTTGGTACGTCATATGTATGATTCTTTTTTTCTTTTTTTTTTT